AAAACAAGTAGCTAGAAATGCTCTAACAATAAAACAAAGCTATGACAGACGGTTAAGAAATAGACAGTTTAAAAATATGTCAAAAGAAAGACCAGACGACCAATAAAATGCAAACCGAAGAACAATTAAGTTCGCAAGAAGTATAACGACTGAGAACAGTGGAAAATAAATGGTTTGCCGCTAAATCTACATAAATAAATAAGATGCACAGTCACGACAAATGAGCACTCATATGCAGGCATATATACATCTATAAACTTTAAAACAAGAACATGAAGTATGGTCAACAGAAATGAGTCCCAGATCCAGTTATGGCATGGAAAACGGAATGTCGTAATCACCAAATTTATGTTGGCTAAAGTAACTAAGGCAGACCATACTGATAACAAGTATCCAAAGGAAATTTGCATACCCTTTCGAAAGTTCGTCTAAAATAATTCCAACAACTATGCACTTCGATTGATGAAAGGTCAGGAAATGCAACACAAGAGACCGTGGATCACTGTCAACGGAAAGATGTTCTGGCCGATGGTTAGGCAAATGAAGGAACGGAAACTAGGGGCCAGGAGGGACTGTGTTTTTTTAGTGTACTATCAGATTATAGGGTATGCATGTCCCGTTATGCTATCAAAAAATTAAATGCACTGCTGCACTGTATTTCGGGAACACCGATGAGTCATTATGGATCCATAACTGAAGTAAAAATCCACGGCTGTAAGATAGGACATAGGCCAAAACCTGTCCTCCAATGCACTACGTCGTCAAGTACACAAACTTGGTGGACAGGGGGTGGAGGCACAAGTGGACAAGACGCTCGTGAGCAGACGGAACTTCAATGATGGCCGACAGAAAAGACAAGACTCGATAGTCGGTATTTATAATACCTACCAAAAAGCAATAATCAAACGAGTCAATGCAATATGCTGGTTGGCGTTAAAACCGGCCGTTAAAAACTGGTAGCTCAGAGTTATTCAAAACTGCCTGTCCTTGTTGTAACAGTATGCAGTAAGTCGTTCCACATATTTTGTTCATCCGACTACATGCAGACACACCAAGACTACAAATAAATAATTGAGTCGGCCTAGACATCATTTAAAAAAGACGGCCCGTCGTCGGAAAAGACCGCATGAACCATTTGGACGAAATGTAGTTATTTGAAATGTGCAATAAAATTATGGTTCCGACAACAACCACATAAAATACCCGCGGCATGGAACAGCCTTCTAAGTCGTGTGTCAGAGTAGTATCCTGATAAATCTGCAAAACCTGACAATGCAACAACACGAGAGGGTGCTTACCCTATTGCCTATGCCAACGATAAAGACGTGAGGAAATTGCAGTTAAATCACTCCAGTACAAAGCACAACAATTTATAACCGAAACAATGTCGATAAAATCGAAAAGGCGAGTTTCAACAAGCGGTCCAGAAGAAGATTAGAGCACTGAGGCGAGGAGTTTATTGGAATGACCCTTCGGATTTTCGCCCGAGTCCATCACTGGAGGCAGTCTCAAATAAGGCAGATGGGTGTACGAGGTGTACAGTGTTTATAGGACGGAGCTGCCGTGAAATCGCATACCTACCACAATCACCAACTCCTGCGTTCATTGCTGATGGTCGTATTTGACGCGATAATTGCTTGTTAGTCCACACCTGACTCGTTAATTATTGAAATTCAGTCACTTGTAGACTCTTGGCGTGATAATGTCTCGGCAATTTGGCCCACTGTCACCGGACCTGCTGATCGACGCACCCTCCCGAGAGGCTAATTACTCTGTTCGGGCAAAGTCTGAAATCAGAATATGGACGCTGGAGATCCTTGTGCTTGTCAGTCGACTGTAGGTCGCTGAACCATGAATCAAACAACGCGCGCTTCACGCGATTGTCACCTCTCTCGAGAATTTCGGTCCTGTCAAACCTGAAATTGTGACCAAATCCTGCCAAACGACCCGCGTCCTCACTTATGCCGAATATTCTCCCAATTTCTTTGACTTATTTGCTTTGTCTTCAACTGCATAAAATCCGACAAACGATTTCATACGTTTTCTGCTGGTGCAGTGGATAGTCTGGCCTCATGGCTTGCCGCCTAGTAGTTGCTTCTGGTCCATATGCAACTTCAATCCCCAACGACGTGAAAAGACCGCTGACTTCTTATGAGGTGCACTTCACGCACAGGAGCGTTCGCTAAAATTTGGAGACGGTTGGATTGTGCCATTTTTCTCGTCTGCGCATTCACACGATGATGGAATTGTGCGGGTACCCATTCGCTCAGAGCACCTGTGCAAGATACTGCACTTCAGCAACTTTGTCTTGGGATTCACTGCAATGCATCCAATATGCCGGTATAGCGCCTTACACAACAACGTTTGTGGATGACTACATGGTTGCTGATGAAGTTCAGTACTTGCGTCGTATTAGTCGCTTTACTGAACACTGTTTTTAGACCACCACAACCTTTTCGATAGTTGAGGCCATCAAAAGAATACCATCTGACCGTTTTCTTCCTCGTCCATCGTAAGTCGTATGTCCGGAAAGACAACGCTGAGGCAGCCCTTGGATGCCAACACCTGAACCCGTTCCATGAGGCCGAAGATGTCGTCAACACCCGAGGCCCAGAACTTCGGTCTGCAGTGTCGGAACACCAACGACTCCAACCGTTGCTAGACTGCCTCAACTATGTATGCCAAAATCGGAGAACCCATTGCTGTGCCTTTCACCCGTTCGTAAGTTGTTAAATTGAACGTGAATTAAGTCTCGAGACAGTACTTCGGGAGTTGGAGGATTTGAGAGCGACCGAAGAGAATCTCCGTTTCATCGCATTTGCTCTGAAGGAATAGTTCAACGGACTAACCGTGAAATTGAAGTAATAAGGGACGTAACATTAAAAGACAAGTCTTGTTTGGCAGTAGAATTATTCCTCTAAGTTTATCCAATAAGTTCGTCGGCGGACCGGCTGTATTGTCTGAATCAGCAGTCAGAAATGAAGGAGGACGAAACAGCCACTTTGCCAGTTCCTAAGATTAAGTGTCATGAATGACACTATTGGCCGCAAAAGGTCGCCCATATTGTGCAATTTTAAAGGATGCAGAACCGGATTAAGGTCGTTCCTTGCGCTCTTGTCATGCGTCAGCTGACCGCGATATTAAATCTAAGTACCACATTACCAAAAACGTCGTACTGATGTCGCATGTCGACGATGCTACGCGGTTGGTTTAGCATGACGATCATCCAACAACCTTTTGGCTTCCTGAGGGTAGTATGTCCTCTCTAGTATAGCAGTGGATCGTCTCTTGTCTGCAGGTGAGATAACGGAATTTTCGGTGGCCCCAAGTTTCCTTAGTGCATCGTATTCGACCTTGGGAGGCATTTCGTGCTGCGTACGAGTCATGTGAATGGACGACATATGGTGTCCGATAAGGTTCTTTGTCATATAAAGTACGTTCTCGAGCGATGATCGCGAGAGTTATTAATCATAGTAGGCATGTGGTCACATGGTAACTGTATCCTACAAATACTGCATTCCTCGCACCCTAAACAACCGTATCTGTGACCGTTCCTGATGATGGATTCGAGTGAGGATCCGCAATGCCGGGAAAATAAACTCTCTGTTCCAGTGATCGCACCGCCTTCCGAAATGGGACATTTTCTGCACAATCGAACATTGGAACCACATTATTATAAATAATGTTTGCACAGTTTTACCAAAAATAAACTCCAAAGATAGAACCATTTAGCTTAACTTGTCCTCTTAAGAGCCATGGTACAAACATTTCCAAACAGACAATTGCAAACCAAGGTAGAGGATGTACTCTCGCAAGTTTTAGATTCTCACATGTGGTAGTTTTGTCTCAATGAAAAGTCGACCACCAAGGAAACTTCGCACCCCCCCATAATTTTCTACTGCTGACTTCGACGATGCCCACCGTGTACCATAGAGCAGACTGGTCTCAGAAGCGGGGGCTTGCGCCTTAAGTAGTTTACAATGATAGAAGACTTGCCCTGCATTTACCCCACTCTCTCCTCTCCAACCTTCCTGAGCCTGGTGTCCAGAGAGAGTTAGGGAAACCGGAGGCGGGTTAGGGCGCAGGTGGCTTGCGTAGCATGTGCCTGCGCCTAGCCGTGCCACGACACACCTCTTTTCGGCATTTACCGTGGATGCGCATCTCTAATAGTGCCTGCCGTGCCTTGTTTGGGCATCTCTGGTTTTTGCGCGTTAACACAACCACCTCGGGATTGCACAATAATTTATAGTTTTGCCATTCGAACTACCTGATGAAAATAAGTAGCAAGAGTGTAAACTCAAATTACAAGAACTATGCTCATTCACTCTAACTGGCCAAATTAGGGGAAAACCGTTGATGGGTCGTACCACTTGCCTCACGTGGGTGGTAGCTTCTTCACACAGCGTTTAACTGGCGTACGGCCTTCTTCTGTGGCTCCCCGAAGACAGTCTCTGACGCCGAGGGCTGTACGGATCACTGCCTCGTCATATCCAAAATTAGGCTTCGACCGCAATATCGCAGAAGACCAAGAGGTAAGCGATCACCAGGTAATTTATATACTGCTCTGTTGAATGTGTCTGTCCACCACTTATATTTCAATAATCAGTTATCCCAGCCCCAGAATGAACCGCCGGCCCCTGACGACAACGTTACGGTGGAGACTCGGTGGTGTCAACTGCGGAACGCTACTTAATCGACTGCTTTTGATGTCATCGGACGCGCATGTCGTCAGCACCTGGACTGTTTCGACGATAATAACGCATTCATTAGCCAACTGCTAGCTGAAAAGCACAGGATGCATAAGGCCCAAAAAACCATCAGACTGAAGTTAACAAAACGGCCTTCTGCTATCGCCACCTCCTGCCACCTCCGCTAGGCCGAGACTATCCAGGTGTATGCCGAACAAGATGAAATCAATAACTCCTTCGCACCACCCAAGGCGGTGCATGCAGAATTAGGTGACGATCGATGCATGACCGCCGGGTTTTCTATGTTGATGGTCAGCCCGAAGTAGGCACAACTGGAGGCGGAGAGTTCCATACTCCGTGCGCGTCAGCCCCCGTCTCGGTGTTAAGTTCACAGTCGTCAGCGAAGAGCCGGACGTGGATAGTCGTCGTAGAGAGATACTTTGAGGCCTGCACGCGCCGGCTGCTGAGAATAGAGCCGTCGGTCCTGTAGAAGAATCGGAGTCCAGGAAGCTCATCATTGCAGGCGTCCATCAGCATACCAGAGGACATGAGGCTGAGGGAGGCTGGGGCGAGCACGAAGTCCTGCTTCACCCCGTTTCTTACTGCAAATGCTTTTGAGACGGTCTCATTTTCTGTGACGCGCGCCGTTATGCGCTCCTGAAGCTGACTGAGCATGTGCGTGAATCGCTCAGGAGAGCCCAATTTATCCATGATGTTCCAAAGTCCATCGCGATTCACCGTGTCAAAGGTTTTTGTCAATTCCACCAACGTTTTGTAGAGTTGGGTCTATATTACCTAGCACTTGTCTTGTAGCTAGCGGGCAGCGAAGATCGTGTCGGGCTTTCCGAGGTGGCGTCGGAATCTACGCTGACTTTCCGGCGGAAGTAATTGTCCGAGGTAACCGTTAAGACGGTTGAGGAGGATGCGAACTAAAATCCTCTCCACAGCGAGATTCGTCTGTGGTTATCATAGAGTTGCCGGTCCCCTTTCGGCTTATAGAGATGAGCGAATTCTGAAGCACTTTCCCGGGTATGAATTGTAAACAGGCATTTACAGCAGGATTTATTGGTGTCAATAAATTTCTTGACTGCTTATAAACTGCTGCCCGTCTCTGCATAACATAGATAACGAATGGAAGCGCACAACAGTATGAATTTGTACAGAATGTCAATGCATAAGAGCAAGGTCAAGATTCAATGCAACGAATAATCAGGTGGATGACTTTTCCATAAGCATCATATAGGAAAGAAGGGGACGGCATGTTAACGCAAATCACAGTCACGAGTAGATCAAGGCGTGAAGATTACCAGGATAATTGTAGATTGACCACGTGGTCTATCTGCTTCCATTGGCCTGGTTTCCCCCGCCGTATGTAGACTGCTATCAAGTAGCGCAAGGTTCGAGTTGTACGCACTTGGACAAGTACCTGAAAAGCTGTTTTAAGGTTGACAGCGTGACCGCTATCTAGCAGATCTTTTGTTATAGACAAACGAGGCGTTTTGTTTTCTTGTTTGAAAAACCATTTAGGCAAGTTCTCAGCGGTCCTGGTTGCCAATTGCTTTGCGTTCGCCCAATGTACTTACATCCGCAAGCGCATGAAAATTTATACACGCAATTAGGGGTGACGTGCATTGGCAAGGTATCCTTTGCCGGTTAATTGGAAGGCTTTTGAGGGAACTGATAAAGACGAGTTCTGCTGCGTTGTACGTTCTTTTTGTGCTGTAACGCAAGCGTTGCCTGACTGTGTTATTTGCGTCACCCTTAAAAGGTAAGGATATCATAACGGGCCCCTTCGGAACAGACTGTCCCGTCAGTTTTGGCCGTAGATGGTTGCTGTACTTCTGAATGAAGCGTGCAGGATAACTGCATTTAAGTAAGGCTTCTTTGATGCGTGCAGTTTCTCTATCTATGGTCTTCCTGGAGCAAATATTTCTCGCTCTTTGAAATAGACTATGTACTAGATTTCTTCTCCATTGTGCTGGCGCAAAGCTTTTCAAATGTAAGTATTACCCTTTCCACGTAATCTTGTGGAAAACAGAGCGCCTTATGGAATCATCATCCTGTCTAAACATGAGAACGTATAGGAAGGGTAGCTTGTTACACTGCTCCATTTTTATCGTGAATTTGATTTTCGGATGCAAACTATTCAGTACACAAAGTAGGTCGGCGGCGTCTTCCTTGTCATCAACAATCGTGACCGACGAGCGCCTACCAAGAAAACAGAGACGTCGTCAATGGAGGTCAAATCTGTCGCTACAAGGAGACTCTGGAGAATTCCTCAAAGCGGCCATAGATCAGCCCGAAGACCTGCAAAGACTACTCACAGAACTAACCGGCCTGGACATGAGCGATGAAGGCTGGAGCCGTCATCTGTAAAGCCAACCGGATCGCCATTGCCAAAACCAAAAGGGATGGTCACAAGTCTCAGGCGTCCCTGACCAACGACAACGACAAACCCTCCCGATATGCACGCGCTGTCGGCGAACATTCCGCGCGCAGACCAACCTGGTCGGACATATTGGTATTCAATGCACCAGCTCGACAACCTCGACTGTTGCCTCTCCTACTATCCCTGTTCACTTGCCCCCGTGGACTTTCGCTCCGTTTACCTCACTCCCTCCTGTCCAATCACCTGAACCCGATATCATGACAACGTCATCATGTGCGGCATTTGTTACGTGTTTGCATCCCAAATAACGCCTGTCGTGCCATAATCTGTCTCCCTGTTGGTGCAGTCCATCTAACGAGGAACGCATCTATCCATACTGGATGCAGGACGGAGCACGATCGTAACCGCTATGACGGAGGGTGCTGCAGCCCAGGTGCAGAGAGTTTGTCTTAATACTCCGTGACCGAATGAAACGGGTTCGAGCACCAGTCTCGCATGTCAGGGGTAGTTATGACTGATTGATAACGGAAGATAAGACAAAAATAAACAATTCAGTACCTGTTGTTTTCTCGATAACATCCTCAATTATCGCTGCTAAGGAAAAATCACTAATGGAGTTTTCACTATCATAAAACGCGTGCTGCAATTCTGAGATGCTGATCTCTTAGACGATTTGAAAACACACCTGGGGGTGGTGAGCGCATTCACTGAGGGAGCACCCGCTCAGTGTAAGCCATTGCTACCAGCGGATGAGAACCCATCGGACGTACGCCTAATATAGATGCTCTTACTCACAAGGCAAACAAACGCGGTCCTAAAAGAGTGGTCGGTGACAATGAGGTATTCTGATAATCGCCAAAATTGGGAAGATAATTATTTACACTTTTTATATAGGACTTTTACAGCAACCCCCTTTGGTTCTTGACACACACATCGATTTCTCGCTTCTCATTGGTATACATAGTTTAAAGATCGTTGGTATACAGTTTTCGTTCGTACCGGACACGCTGATTAAATTTGGTTAGTCTTCACCGGCATATCTACGAGACGTTATCGAGTTCTTCCATAACAATATCAGCGGCCCTCACAACCTCCATCATACTTACCTAATAAGAAAAACCTCCCCAATATCAGGTATTCAATTTTCATTGTTGTTGGAAATGCAAAACTGGATGGTGATGTCGATGATATTGGAAAGGCCGTTCTTAAGAAGCAATAGATGCACGCAAAGGGTTAGTCAGTCTACATTTATTTTCAAAGTAAGGCTAAGGATTGCATTCTGAAGCCCTCCCGAGAGAAAAACTATGTTGCTTTTATTTCTTGCAGTGTGAAAGTAACCGTCTCTAAGCAAGAACCCATGGTGACCAGAATGAGTTCAAAAGGGCTATGGGGAGACAAAAGTTGGAGTCCACACCCGGACACTAGGAGAAACGGGTGCGAGGAGAAAAACCTGCTGGCCAGCTACCGTAACGTTCGGTCTGTCGGGTTCATTTTGCTTCAGACGATGGACCACTTTGGTGGGAATTTTAGATAATGACGTTTCAGTTATTTTCCAAAATAAGGCTTGAGAGCAGGTAACAAGGTTGTTTGGAGGGATGGCGGCTGCTTCCGCAGTCGCCAGTATGTGCCTATGTGGAGGTTTCAATAGGTCCGGTGGGATCATGTACCTAACACGTTAAAACTTTTAGCAAGCAGTTCACCTTTACATGAGTTCAAGGAATACTTTTGAAGCAGTGCCACGTCTTGCATTTACTAGCCAACTACGCATATGGTATTCTAGTAATAGGGAGAGCTTCATGACAGAAGGAAATATTATTTTGTGCCCAGGACTCTTTAACAGTTAAATTGCTTTTTATTTCCTGGATCAGCAGAGCACAGGAAATGTATTTGCTCGTATTGATGACAGATCTATCAAGAAACATTTTCTACGAAGACTGTTATATAAACCTCTGATATTACATTTATATCTTAGCTCGGTGTTAATTAAATCTGCAATATAATGTAAAATATTTTAGTCCTCCTAGTTCTGTTTAAATATTTCCTCCGTCACCGTCGAGGACTTCCTCAACACCACTTTTGGATAACTCGGGAATATTGTGTACGTATTCGTAATAACCAAGGAATGCTGTTGAGAGAAGAGGCACAAACAAATTGCAACGACTGGGCACAGGTGTTCTGCTAGAGAAGAAGAAAACACGGAACACCCTTTCCTGGAGATGCAATTAATAGTCTTCGCCGATACTTCTTGTTTCTTAAGCGGATCTGCTTGAAATTCTAAAAAAACTGCTCGCACGTTGTTAATGGTGTCAGAAGTAACCGTGGAAACTCTGTTGTTCCGCGTCATTCAGAAATGGTGACTACAGAGTAAGGGGGATTTACGTCACCAATGACGATTAACTCGGAGCTTTTGCAATTATATGCAAGGAACGAATATTAAGACTGAAGAGACTAACTGGTTGTGTGCATCTTTTTATTTTACCCACATAAACCAAGTTACCGAAGTAGCAAATCAAAATACATACAGATGCAGACGGGGACAGGAAGATGGAAGATTCACTGGGTTAAAAAATATGTGTAAACCGTTGGCTAAGGGTAAGCTCCAGTTTAACAGGCTGGATTTTAAATAACTTCCTTTAGCTACACATACACCTGACTCTCGCAGTCTACATCATCACAATTTCCTATTAAAGAGTTGTTTTAAGTATTTCCATAATCCTTAAAGCCGCAGTAGAGCACATCGACCAAATACACTGTGGAGGATGCGACAAGTAAAATGGAGAGACAGAGTCGGTCTGGCAGGCCAGAGAACTGAGGTATAGGGCAAGGCTTCCCGATTAAAACGTTCATTAAAAAGGCAGAAACCGGAGCAAAAGGTCAACAAAAAGAGAATATTTAAGAAGAACAAAAAGGAAAAAAATACAGTAGGCAATTCCGGGAGGAAAAAACTTGAGGTGCTTGCCTAAAAGTAGTGAAAAAATTATTGAACGGTAAGGCATATGAAATCAAAATTTTAATTGGTATACACTTTATGATTACGAGAGCGAGACTGGAGGGACAAGGTTGACTGGTTTAAACAGTTTATTCCGAAATCACGCTAAGTTTTTAAATGCTGTTATATTCAGTGGTTTTCTGAATAGAGTGCTTATGGCCTCTGAAACGAGTTCGTCTCTATATTTGTAACTTCTGTATTGATTGCATGAGTTCTAGGAAATGTATTAAGTGGTGAATTGCCGTGGATCAAGTTTTGAAACGAAACATATAGATACGACCTTACTATATACTTCAC